TACATAATATTACAAAAGATGTGAGCTTTCAAAAGTACAAGATTTTGGTTACTATTCAAAATATAAGTGTTTCTTCAAAATTTTAAATTTATTTTTTCTAGAACATATTTAGAAACACTATCCTTTATAAAAAATATATAAATTTTATGTATTAATTAAATTTCACATATGAATATAGGTTTTTGACATTTTTGACATTTTCGACAGTGAGGTTTTTGACGTGACGGTTTAAACCATGGTTTAAACTGTCAAAAACTGTCACATGTCAAAAACCTGCCAACCCTGGCGGAAACATCTTTAAAATATCCATATTAAAGTAAAACTTGTGGAATTTAGTACCCTGCAGGGTATGTGAGAATAATATTGTTGTGTAGTATAATATACATGCCCTGAGTAATATTGTTAAGTCTTTTGATATATACTATTAAATATTGTAACAAAAAAAAGTAAAATTTCATTAATGTATGCTTTAATTAAAATTTAATAACGACAATTAATATTACACTACTAATAACAAAATATAATGAACTAAAGTCTTTCATTTTGCTGTAATGATTGCATCATTCATTTACATACTTACCCTTGGTGTGTACGTAACTGCACATACATTTGTAGGGTAGGGCATTTTTGGCAACCATAGAATTTAAATGTCGTGCACTTTTATAATGACTCAAATTGTATAAAGAGCGGTTGGAAACTTTACTATTTTGCACACCATAAGAAATTAGGGACTTAGTTGTTTTGTAGAACAAGGATTTGCTACCAATTGCTTTGGAGTAAACTAGACAATTTTTAACTGCAGATAAAGCCATTGTAAGAGTTATTTCTTTCAAAGCAAGTCCTTGGGGGAAACACAATTTAAAATTGCGAAAGATAATAATTTGTTAAGAATTCCGAAAAATCACACCGGTCAACTGCACGTTGTTATTGAGAATTCTGACTAGTGGAGGTGAGATGATTTTGATTGATATACTATTTTTAATATAAGATTTCATTTCAGAATGGCAACAGTCTGTTTTAAGAAAAGTTAAGGTTAGTGCCGTAGATATAAGGAACCCGTAAGAGGAAGTGAAGGTCCTATCTTTCCGATGGCAACGAAAAACCGGTTTTCAGGGTTACCCTATTTTTTAGGTTTATCTTATTATTGGCGTTTTAAAAAAATTTACTACCATTTTTTTTTTCGTTGAGTGCTTAGTTGTACTAGTTCTGATTTCGAATATAACAATATAATAAATTATAAAAAATAGACAACAAATTGTATTTTTACTTTTAAAGTTAAT